ATTAACCGCCACCACATGAAAATAGAAAAATATACAACTATCTCCAATAACTAAAGTCTTTAGTCCGACTACTCTACTTTGTCCCTATGCTAGGTCTACAACAGTACAGACATCTCGTGGCTTGCCGCCAGCTAACAGAGACGTCCCATGAGTCTCCTTACCCTAGCTATCCGTGTATGTCTCTGTCCCCAGTCTACCCTTAACCGTCTCTAACCCCTCCTATAACGAAAGTCCAGGTCCACCAGGTGCAGGCGTAATTGTGCACCAACACTGGTGTCAAAATCTTATTAGACCACCCCCAAGCTTCCCTCGGTCAATACTGACCAGTCCTTTGAGCGTTCAAGTCATAATCTATAGACCGTCCCTATACACAGCGTCAATCTAGCGATCTGATTGGCCGGCCTCCCGGGTTTCTCACGGCCATACCGAACATGCCTCCGCATTTCATTTTAATTCCTGCCCGGCTATTCGAGCGCTGGTCACCCGTCTCCTTAGTTTATGGGCGTCAGGTCGTTTCCCCTCAGATAAGGCCAACACATGTACAGATCCCGTGTGATCGTAACAATATATATATATGTAAATAAATGTACGTATGAGTGTTTGTGGGTGTGTTTGTCTTTTATGTATTACTGCTCAGTTCATCCAAAATACATGAACATTTGTTGCAAGTTATTGCAAAGGAAAAAATAATTTCGGTGGGGTGGCGCCCCTGCAGGATGAGATTTGGCACCCCGGCTACCCCGTGAAAGTTATGGCACCTATGTTTATTTTAAAGAGTGCGATACATTATGGATACGGCAATATAATTGTTAGATAAATCGTCCCGTGGCGTCCGTGTTCTACCTGAATAATAAGGAGGGTAATTAACATACACCTGGATTCTCAGCGGCAATATTGATAAAACAGCACCCAACAACTATGGATAAACCAGCACCCCAACAACTATAAATAAACAAGCAACCCAACAACTATGGATAAACCAGCAACCCAACAACTATGGATAAACCAGCACTCTACAACTAGGGATAAACCAGCAACCAACATCTATGGTTAAACCAGCACCCAACAACTATGGATAAACCAGCACCCAACAACTATAATAAACCAGCACCCAACAACTATAATAAACCAGCACCCAACAACTATAATAAACCAGCACCCAACAACTATGGTTAAACCAGCACCCAACAACTATGGTTAAACCAGCACCCAACAACTATGGATAAACCAGCACCCAACAACTATGGATAAACCAGCACCCAACAACTATAATAAACCAGCACCCAACAACTATGGTTAAACCAGCACCCAACAACTATGGTTAAACCAGCACCCAACAACTATGGATAAACCAGCACCCAACAACTATAATAAACCAGCACCCAACAACTATGGATAAACCAGCACCCAACAACTATAATAAACCAGCACCCAACAACTATGGATAAACAAGCACCCAACAACTATGGTTAAACCAGCACCCAACAACTATGGTTAAACCAGCACCCAACAACTATGGATAAATCAGCACCCAAGAACTATGGATAAACCAGCACCCAACAACTATAGATAAACCAGCACCCAACAACTATGGATAAACCAGCACCCAACAACTATGGATAAAACAGCACCCAACAACTATGGATAAACCAGCACCCCAACAACTATAAATAAACAAGCAACCCAACAACTATGGATAAACCAGCACCCAACATCTATGGTTAAACCAGCACCCAACAACTATGGATAAACCAGCACCCAACAACTATAATAAACCAGCACCCAACAACTATGGATAAACAAGCACCCAACAACTATGGATAAACCAGCACCCAACAACTATGGATAAACCAGCACCCAAAAACTATGGATAAACCAGCACCCAACAACTATGGATAAACCAGCACCCAACAACTATGGATAAACCAGCACCCAACAACTATGGTTAAACCAGCACCCAACAACTATGGATAAACCAGCACCCAACAACTATGGATAAACCAGCACCCAACAACTATGGATAAACCAGCACCCAACAACTATGGATAAACCAGCACCCAACAACTATGGTTAAACCAGCACCCAACAACTATGGATAAACCAGCACCCAACAACTATGGATAAACCAGCACCCAACAACTATGGATAAACCAGCACCCAACAACTATAGATAAACCAGCACCCAACAACTATGGATAAACCAGCACCCAACAACTATGGATAAACCAGCACCCAACAACTATGGATAAACCAGCACCCAACAACTATAGATAAACCAGCACCCAACAACTATGGATAAACCAGCACTCTACAACTATGACCCAAGAAATCTAACTCTCACTCTGTTTACACGGTGCTTGCATGTGTTGGCTTATATGTCACACTATTTTGTTGTACTACAATTTTACCTTAATTAAGTTTCGGACCTGGATCCCGGCTTTCCAATCGCTGTTCGGTGTCTCAAAGTATTTTTCTTCTTCAGGGGGGATGTCTGGTAACTCCTTTTCTTCTACAGCAGTTGGGACCCAGTAGCTCCGCTGTTCATAGATTCATAACAAGTCATTAAAGCATACATACATACATACATACATACACACACACACAAACACACACACACACATACATACATACATACATACATACTTACATACATACATACATACATACATACATACATACATACATACATACATACATACATACATACATACATACATACATACATACATACATACATACGTACGTACGTACGTACGTACGTACGTACGTACGTACGTACGTACGTACGTACGTACGTACGTACATACATACATACATACATACATACATACATACATACATACATACATACATACATACATACATACATACATACATACATACATACATACATACATACATACATACATACATACATACATACATACATACATACATACATACATACATACATACATACATACATACATACATACATACATACATACATACATACATACATACATACATACATACATACATACATACATACATACATACATACATACATACATACATACATACATACATACATACATACATACATACATACATACATACATACATACATACATACATACATACATACATACATACATACATACATACATACATACATACATACATACATACATACATACATATATATATATATATATATATATATATATATATATATATATATATATATATATATATATGTATATATACATACTTTCTTCTACGCTGACATAACTTACAGTAAACATAAAATTGAATGGTTTTGGAATGCCAAATTCCCCTGGGAAAATGTTGCTTATGTACCAGACGAAGAAAACATTGAAAGCAGTATTCAGTATCATAATGGTTAGACCATCCAAGACATTTTTATTCGGATCTAATTCGTTGACTGCTAGGGTTGATAGGTAAATCGGTCTCTCTAGGACATTTATTTGAACATATCTTATTATGTATGTTGATGTGGGTAGCTTTTTAGAGATTACTATTCTAAAAATACAACTAAATCAACTCTTACACAACCTCCTTGTGATACACTTATATGCCAGCACCGCCTCTCACGATAAAAAAGCAATGCTAGCACCGCCCCCCCCCCATGATAGACAGCAATGCTAGCACCGCACTTCATGATAGACAGCAATGCTAGCACCGCACTTCATGATAGACAGCAATGCTAGCACCGCCTCCCTTGATAGACAGCAATACTAGCACCATCCCCCCCCATGATAGACAGCAATGCTAGCACCGCCCTTCATGATAGATAGCAATGCTAGCACCACCCCCCCCATCACAGACAGCAATGCTAGCACCGCCTCCCTTGATAGACAGCAATGCTAGCACCACCCCCCCCATAATAGACAGCAATGCTAGCACCGCCTCCCATGATAGACAGCAATGCTAGCACCACCCCCCCCCCCCCATGATAGACAGCAGTACTAGCACCGCCCCCCCCCATCACAGACAGCAATGCTAGCACCACCCCCCATCACAGACAGCAATGCTAGCACCGCCCCCCATCATAGACAGCAATGCTAGCACCACCCCCCATCATAGACAGCAATGCTAGCACCACACCCCATCACAGACAGCAATGCTAGCACCGCCCCCCATCACAGACAGCAATGCTAGCACCGCCTCCCTTGAAAGACAGCAATGCTAGCACCGCCTCCCTTAAAAGACAGCAATGCTAGCACCGCCTCCCTTAAAAGACAGCAATGCTAGCACAGCCTCCCTTGATAGACAGCAATGCTAGCACCGCCTCCCTTAAAAGACAGCAATGCTAGCACCACCCCCCATCACAGACAGCAATGCTAGCACCGCCTCCCTTAAAAGACAGCAATGCTAGCACCACCCCCCCATCACAGACAGCAATGCTAGCACCGCCTCCCTTAAAAGACAGCAATGCTAGCACCGCCTCCCTTAAAAGACAGCAATGCTAGCACCACCCCCCATCACAGACAGCAATGCTAGCACCGCCTCCCTTAAAAGACAGCAATGCTAGCACAGCCTCCCTTAAAAGACAGCAATGCTAGCACCACCCCACCCCCCATCACAGACAGCAATGCTAGCACCACCCCCCATCACAGACAGCAATGCTAGCACCACCCCCCATCACAGACAGCAATGCTAGCACCACCCCCCATCACAGACAGCAATGCTAGCACCGCCTCCCTTAAAAGACAGCAATGCTAGCACAGCCTCCCTTAAAAGACAGCAATGCTAGCACCACCCCCATCACAGACAGCAATGCTAGCACCACCCCACCCCCCATCACAGACAGCAATGCTAGGACCACCCCCCATCACAGACAGCAATGCTAGCACCGCCTCCCTTGAAAGACAGCAATGCTAGCACCGCCCCCCATAATAGATAGCAATGCTAGCACCGCCCCCCCCCCCCCCATGATAGACAGCAATGCTAGCACCACCCCCCATCATACACCTCTAACCCAGCCACACCTTACATTACACACCCACGCTTCTACCTGAAGTTTTCTAGAAAATGGTTACACATATTTACACATATTTACACACATTTACACATATTTACACATATTTACACATATTTACACATATTTACACATATTTACACATATTTACACATATTTACACACATTTACACATATTTACCAGCGTTTTCGTTGTCATATTTTCGTTGTCATATAGAACTTGCCTGGCTACTTCAAAGCCAAACCTGTACAAGAAAACCCCGTACAGCAAAATGCGAGCAGTTTTCTGTTCGATAAGACTGGAGGTAGCCATGGGGATGGCGAAATACACGATTATAGATATGATTCCAGCAAGTCGGCCTGCAAGACATTCAATACATGAGCTCATGTCCTGATTTAGGTACTCGAACATGTCATGGTCTACACAAGACATTCAATACATGAGCTCATGTCCTGATTTAGGTACTCGAACATGTCCTGATTTAGGTACTCGAACATGTCATGATTTAGGTACTCGAACATGTCATGGTCTACACAAGACATTCAATACATGAGCTCATGTCCTGATTTAGGTACTCGAACATGTCATGATTTAGGTACTCGAACATGTCATGATTTAGGTACTCGAACATGTCATGGTCTACACAAGACATTCAATACATGAGCTCATGTCCTGATTTAGGTACTCGAACATGTCATGGTCTACACAAGACATTCAATACATGAGCTCATGTCCTGATTTAGGCACTCGAACATTTCCTGATTTAAGTACTCGAACATGTCCTGATTTAGGTACTCGAACATGTCATGATTTAGGTACTCGAACATGTCATGGTGTACACAAGACATTCAATACATGAGCTCATGTCCTGATTTAGGTACTCGAACATGTCCTGATTTAGGTACTCGAACATGTCCTGATTTAGGTACTCGAACATGTCATGATTTAGGTACTCGAACATGTCATGGTGTACACAAGACATTCAATACATGAGCTCATGTCCTGATTTAGGTACTCGAACATGTCCTGATTTAGGTACTCGAACATGTCCTGATTTAGGTACTCGATTATGTCATGATTTAGGTACTCGAACATGTCATGGTGTACACAAGACATTCAATACATGAGCTCATGTCCTGATTTAGGTACTCGAACATGTCATGGTCTACACAACAGATCATGGCTTGGCCTACACTCAACGTATCATTAAAATCCCTGCAACATTTGTTCGCTGCACAAAACTTATTTTCAAACACGTGCAGCAAAATTATATCTTTAATCCTTAAAATCCATAAAGTTTTCTACAGGAAAAACATATTTGTCTGTAAGGCTACACTACATTAAGCGTGCTACCCTTGTCTGTAATGCTACATTAAGCGTGCTACCCTTGTATGTAATGCTACATTACCTCTCTTAAAAAATGTGCCGAGCAGAAAGGCCGCGCTGATTGTGTTGACCGTAAACACCAGTTCAAAGATGGCGAACAGCAGACTGGATGACTTCAAGAGCCGACCGACCGGCGAGTAGTCGACACACATGACCACCCAACCCAGGATGCAGATGTACAGGCCGTAGATGAAGTTCATGACAAACCAGGACATCCAGTAGATCAACTCGCCCAGCCCCATCAGCTTCATGGACTCCTGGGGAGGGGAAGTTGAACATATCAGACCAGGAGAGTTAAACCACGAGCAGGGGAAGTTGAACATATCAGACCAGGAGAGTTAACCCACGGGCAGGGGGAAGTTGAACATATCAGACCAGGAGAGTTAACCCACGGGCAGGGGGAAGTTGAACATATCAGACCAGGAGAGTTAACCCACGGGCAGGGGGAAGTTGAACATATCAGACCAGGAGAGTTAACCCACGGGCAGGGGGAAGTTGAACATATCAGACCAGGAGAGTTAACCCACGGGCAGGGGGAAGTTGAACATATCAGACCAGGAGAGTTAACCCACGGGCAGGGGGAAGTTGAACATATCAGACCAGGAGAGTTAACCCACGGGCAGGGGAAGTTGAACATATCAGACCAGGAGAGTTAATCCACGAGCAGGGGAAGTTGAACATATCAGACCAGGAGAGTTAACCCACGGGCAGGGAGAAGTTGAACATATCAGACCAGGAGAGTTAACCCACGGGCAGGGGAAGTTGAACATATCAGACCAGGAGAGTTAATCCACGGGCAAGGGAAGTTGAACATATCAGACCAGGAGAGTTAACCCACGGGCAGGGGGAAGTTGACAGACCAGGTTAGTTAACCCACGGGCAGGTGAGTTTAACATATCAGACCAGGGAAGTTAAACCACGGGCAAGTGAGTTTAACATGATAGACCAGGTGAGTTAAACCACGGGCAGGTGAGTTTAACATGACAGACCAGGGGAGTTACACCACGGGCAGGGGGAAGTTGACAGACTAGGGGAGTTAAACCACGGGCAGGTGAGTTTAACATGACAGACTAGGGGAGTTAAACCACGGGCAGGTGAGTTTAACATGACAGACCAGGGGGGAAGTTGACAGACTAGGGGAGTTAAACCACGGGCAGGTGAGTTTAACATGACAGACTAGGGGAGTTAAACCACGGGCAGGTGAGTTTAACATGATAGACCAGGTGAGTTAAACCACGGGCAGGTGAGTTTAACATGATAGACCAGGTGAGTTAAACCACGGGCAGGTGAGTTTAACATGATAGACCAGGGGAGTTAAACCACGGGCAGGTGAGTTTAACATGATAGACCAGGGGAGTTAAACCACGGGCAGGTGGAGTTTAATATTTTAACCCACGGGAGTTAAGCGATGGTGGGGACAGTTGAACATGCCGGAAATCTGTTATATTCAAACATCCGTGAGGAAAATGCATTAGACTTGTTTCGCTTATTTGTTTTGTATAAAACTAGGTAAAGAAAAGATTTAAACTTTTAGTTTACCATTAACTAAATAATTTAATTTTGAATTGACCTTGATCTTAGATTCGCGTTCGTCCACGATGGTGATTGTTGTGAAACAGAACAAAGCCATGAAGAGCAGACCGTAGGTCATCGAGAGGTGTACCAAACTCGAGTTACTTTGCTTAGTGACCAGCTTGGGCATCTCGACGAGCTCCAGGCGCAGATGGCTGGGTGGGCCGCCTTTCTGGGTCTGCCAGTGGTTGATGAACATCATGGTGACCCCGTGCATGGTCTCTGGCACGCTGTATAAGTTCAGCCCTGCTCGGGAAGATCAACAAAATGGCAGCGCGCTGCAGAGCTCGCAACAAACAACGGTTGCCGCACATAAATATATCATTGTACATACGACACATGTACATAAGGATGTAACATACACATACAAATGTACATAAGTCTGTAACATACACATACAAATGTACATACAACTATAACATACATTAACAACTGTACATAAAACTGTAACACACACATACAACTGTTCATACTTCTATAGCATACACCCTCACCTATGCATACAACTGTTTCCGGCATAGTGGGCTTGACCCAGACATGACCCAGGCATGACCCAGACATGACCCAGGCATGACCCAGACATGACCCAGGCTTGACCCAGACATGACCCAGGCATGATACAGACATGACCCAGGCTTGACCCAGACATGACCCAGGCATGATACAGACATGACCCAGGCTTGACCCAGACATGACCCAGGCATGATACAGACATGACCCAGGCTTGACCCAGGCTTGACCCAGACATGACCCAGCCATGACCCAGGCTTGACCCAGACATGACCCAGGCATGACCCAGACATGACCCAGGCTTGACCCAGACATGACCCAGGCATGATACAGACATGACCCAGGCTTGACCCAGACATGACCCAGGCATGATACAGACATGACCCAGGCTTGACCCAGACATGACCCAGGCATGATACAGACATGACCCAGGCTTGACCCAGACATGACCCAGACATGACACAGGCAGTCCAGAAATTCTGGTCACGTCGGCTAATGGACCCGAGAATAGTCTCGAAACTATTCGAGAGACTCATGAAATATTTTTAAAATATCGCACGGTGTAATTAAAATTAAAATTATATTAATATTATATAATATTATAAAATTATAATTATATGATATTTACATATATATATATATATATATATATATATATATATATATATATATATATATATATATATATATATATATATGTAACCCTCACTCAGTGGGGATGCTTTTACCCACTGAGGTGTTGTGGTTTAAGACGGGCTGACCCTGAGATTAAGTACACACCGACGCCGACAGTTGTTGTCAAGTACTCGTTTATTTATAGCATCGAGCCATGACGGCGATGCAACACAAAACGAACTAGCCAAGGTAGACCAAAAGATCCAAACAATCCAAAGATCAAAATAGAAACAGAAAACTGTAGCCCTAAAACAAATGTAAAATAAAAAAGTTACATTCAGGACAACACCACGTGTAAGCTACAATATACACGGGTACAATAAATTATGTTTTCGGCCAGTACACAGTACTGCCAACAAGTACCAATAAGTAGTACTACAAAATAAATACTTAATTTAATACATCACCCTAACTAGTGTGCACATGCAGCACTAGCAGGAATACATAAGTATTTAAACAAACATAATTTATATATCTACACTACCTTCATTAGGTCTACATCTTGGTCCACAGACAGCAGCCTTGCGTGTGCGACACGACTAGGCACATGTCACATGATATGGAACACAGGTAATTTCGCTCACAAAAGCATAAAAAAACGTCAACAGTTCAGTTGCAGTCCCACAGGGGCCGCAACCCAATGAATAAAAACTTCATAGTTTTATCCCCCTTCTGGCTGGTAACGATATGTGTTACACAGCCCCCCTCACAAATAAATGTACAATGGAATTCACATTTACATTTACATTCATACATAATAGTACTTAAAAAAAAAAGTTCAGTACACTAGTACACAGACATTAAGTCCTTTCAACTCAAATACATTATTCCCGGCAAACCGGTAGAGGCTCCAGTGCTGGTACTGGTCACCACTTGATGCGCCAGGTTGAGTCGCTCGACGGGTCGTCGTTGACGGGTTGACCTCCGCAGCTCCACTGGTGGTTCTGGGTTGATCCAAGAGTCATCCTCGTCCGATGCCTCGTCCCTCGCATTCACCTCATCCAGATGTGGGGCTGGCCTGACCATCACCTTGTCTTGTCCGTCCCGGGCGACCACCTCTGGCCCGAAGGGCATTGCCTCCGGCCGAAGTCTAGTTGGGACCACTACCTTGATTGTCAGTTCCTCACCTTCATCTGCCTCACTGGTTGGGATGATCTCTTTCCGTCGCTCCCCCTCCGCCACAGTGGGCTCAGCACTCGACATTGTATAGTCGGGTCGCTGCCAACCACGGCGGCGTCCACCACGTCGTCGGCCTCTCCTCCGGCGGCGTCTCCGACCTCTGCTTGTGTCATGTCTGTCTCCCAAGCGACGATCTTGCTCGCGCTGAGACTGACATTCATAGTGTGGCTGTCTACCCTTCTCACGCGCACCCTCCGGCTGCAACCCTCCTCCACGGCGGAACACCCGACAGCCGTACCTCCAGCCGCTAGGCGAGGTAACCTGAGCTGTGGTTGCTCGACACTGTGATGATCTCGGTGGCGTAAACTTGGGCTGGGAGCTTGGCAGAACACGCATCAGCATCCGCTCCCCGACGCTGATAGACTGGCATTTCCCCTGCTGCTGACTCCGTTGCCTAGCTGCTTTCCTCGGACAGTCGCGGACGAAGTGCTTCCTGGACCCGCACCCGTAACAAGCTCCTCTGTAAGGCCGTTGTTTCCGGGCTAGGATAGCTGCTGCCACCTTCTCCGCCAGACGGTCAAGTTGTTCCTCCGTGAGCATCAGCGGCGTCGTCTCTTGGCGAACAACTGCCGTTACTGCGTCGACCTGGATAGTCCTGTTAGCTGCTGCCGTGGCTACGACTGGGGACTCAGTTGTCCCGTCCAGCCTTTTAACAGCTTTCAGGACGGTCTCCATCTTCGGGCTAGCTTCCCCTGCAACCCCGCCCGTGGGTAGAAAGTCGGTGAACTCGTCCTCATCGCTGTGTACTGGAGCACACACCTTCACCGTCACGGGCCGCTGCGCACTTGCCTGCATCGCCGCCATCTTAGCCGTCAGTTCGGCCAACTCCTGCGACAACTTCTCGAACGTCGGCTTGGTGCTTTCCATCCTACCTCCCAAGGTCAAGCCCCACGTTGGGCGCCAAATGTAACCCTCACTCAGTGGGGATGCTTTTACCCACTGAGGTGTTGTGGTTTAAGACGGGCTGACCCTGAGATTAAGTACACACCGACGCCGACAGTTGTTGTCAAGTACTCGTTTATTTATAGCATCGAGCCATGACGGCGATGCAACACAAAACGAACTAGCCAAGGTAGACCAAAAGATCCAAACAATCCAAAGATCAAAATAGAAACAGAAAACTGTAGCCCTAAAACAAATGTAAAATAAAAAAGTTACATTCAGGACAACACCACGTGTAAGCTACAATATACACGGGTACAATAAATTATGTTTTCGGCCAGTACACAGTACTGCCAACAAGTACCAATAAGTAGTACTACAAAATAAATACTTAATTTAATACATCACCCTAACTAGTGTGCACATGCAGCACTAGCAGGAATACATAAGTATTTAAACAAACATAATTTATATATCTACACTACCTTCATTAGGTCTACATCTTGGTCCACAGACAGCAGCCTTGCGTGTGCGACACGACTAGGCACATGTCACATGATATGGAACACAGGTAATTTCGCTCACAAAAGCATAAAAAAACGTCAACAGTTCAGTTGCAGTCCCACAGGGGCCGCAACCCAATGAATAAAAACTTCATAGTTTTATCCCCCTTCTGGCTGGTAACGATATGTGTTACATATATATATATATATATATATATATATATATATTGATAAAGAGAAAGAGAGGGGAGAGTGATTGTACTGCCCAAATTGAATAAGTGTTATATCTATATGCAGTGTTTCTTCCAGACTCTTTTCTCCGGGGAGGGGGAGTTTAGGGGGCGGTCTAAAAATGTTAAAAGTATATAGCATACTGTTAGCCCCCCCCCCCCTCCCCGAAAATATGCCTGGAAGAAACTCTTTCTATATGTATATCTAGCTTCCCCTGATTGTGTTAGTGTTGTTTGATAAGACGACAAGTACCTTCTTTTTGTATGGAGTTGTAGCCCTTGGTGGAGTGTGTTTACATGGAGCGAGAAGTGTTCACGTGAGGTGTGTCAGTTGACGGGATGGCGTGTGCTAGGGTGTGTTCACGTGAGGTGTGTCAGTTGACGGGATGACGTGTGCTAGGGTGTGTGGACATCAAGAGGACGTGTTGAGGACGAGGGTGCTGTAACTACTGTAAGTACTGTTGGATCCTTTGTTTTTGTATTATCTATCGCTTGTATTGGGCCAATTTTTATACCAGTGTTCGATGATAAAATCTTCTTATAAAAAAGGGTGTTAGGTAACTGGTAGTTAACTAAATACACACATGACTGTCTCATGGCAATGCTTACCCAGTCCCTAACCTTAAACCCAACCCTAGTCCTAACATACGCCGAACCCTAATAAAACCATACAATTAGACGAGATTACAATACTACAACCCAACAACCCTTTTTTATGTAATAGCTACTATCGGACATCGGCATCTAAAATTATCCGTCCTGTATTATTGAAGAACCCGAGAATTAGTCTTTATAGATTTAACGGGTATGAACACATCCGTCCTGTATTATTAAAGAACCCGAGAATTAGTCTTTATAGATTTAACGGGTATGAACACATCCGTCCTGTATTATTGAAGAACCCGAGAATTAGTCTTTATAGATTTAACGGGTATGAACACATCCGTCCTGTATTATTGAAGAACCCGAGAATTAGTCTTTATAGATTTAACACATCCCCGACATTGAAACCTCCGTCACTGATCAACCAGTGGCGTAGCGAGGTCGGGTGTCACCCGGTGCGGCACTTAATGGTGTCACCCCCAGAGGCGTAGAGACCCTTTCCGGGGACAAACTTTCAATTTTCGATTTGCATCCCCCCTCAAACTTTCGATTTGCACCTCCCCCCCCCCCCACCCCCCCCCCCCCCAAAAGAAAAATTCGATTTGCACCTCTTAAAAGACTATTTAACACTCGGATTAATCACTTATTTAAGTGGAATTGTCATTTTTCTCTATATGTTTTGCTATTTTTGCCACCCTCCTAAATGCTGTCACCCGGTGCGATCCGCACCCCCGCTCCCCCCCCCCTTGCTACGCCCCTGTGATCAACTAAGCACACATGTTACACATTTTCTTCCGGGTTGGTTTTTAGTTTTTGATATCGACGTCATTATCATTGTGAAGAAATTATTTTCGCTTTAGGTCGCGGTTTTATAACTCACGTCAAGCCGGTCTAAACAGGCGGTTTATAACTCACGTCATGCAAGTCTATACAGGCGGTTTATACAGCCGGTCTATACAGGCGGTTTATAACTCACGTCATGCAAGTCTATACAGACGGTCTATAACTCACGTCAAGCCGGTCTATACAGGCGGTTTATAACTCACGTCATGCCGGTCTATACAGCCGGTCTATACAGACGGTCTATAACTCACGTCATGCCGGTCTATACAGCCGGTCTATACAGCCGATCTATAACTCACGTCAAGCCGGTCTATACAGCCGGTCTATACAGCCGGTCTATAACTCACGTCATGCCGGTCTATACAGACAGTCTATAACTCACGTCAAGCCGGTCTATACAGCCGGTCTATACAGCCGGTCTATAACTCACGTCAAGCCGGTCTATACAGCCGGTCTATACAGACTGTCTATAACTCACGTCAAGCCGGTCTATACAGCCGGTCTATAACTCACATCATGCCGGTCTATACAGCCGGTCTATACAGCCGGTCTATAACTCACGTCATGCCGGTCTATACAGACTGTCTATAACTCACGTCAAGCCGGTCTATACAGCCGGTCTATAGAGCCGGTCTATAACTCACGTCATGCCGGTCTATACAGACAGTCTATAACTCACGTCATGCCGGTCTATAAAGACTGTCTATAACACACGTCATGCCGGTCTATACAGCCGGTCTATACAGACGGTCTATAACTCACGTCATGCCGGTCTATAAAGACTGTCTATAACACACGTCATGCCGGTCTATACAGCCGGTCTATACAGACGGTCTATAACTCACGTCATGCCGGTCTATACAGACAGTCTATAACTCACGTCATGCCGGTCTATACAGCCGGTCTACACAGACTGTCTATAACACACGTCATGCCGGTCTATACAGCCGGTCTATACAGGCGGTCTATACAGGCGGTCTATACAGCCGGTCTACACAGACTGTCTATAACACACGTCATGCCGGTCTATACAGCCGGTCTATACAGGCGGTCTATACAGCCGGTCTATACAACCGGTCTATACAGCCGGTCTATACAGACTGTCTATAACTCACGTCATGCCGGTCTATACAGCCGGTCTATACAGCCGGTCTATAACTCACGTCATGCCGGTCTATACAGCCGGTCTATACAGACTGTCTATAACTCACGTCATGCCGGTCTATACAGCCGGTCTATACTGGCGGTTTATACAGACTGTCTATAACTCACGTCATGCCGGTCTATACAGACTGTCTATACAGCCGGTCTATACAGACTGTCTATAACTCACGTCATGCCGGTCTATACAGCCGGTCTATACTGGCGGTTTATACAGACTGTCTATAACTCACGTCATGCCGGTCTATACAGACTGTCTATACAGCCGGTCTATACAGACTGTCTATAACTCACGTCATGCCGGTTTATACAACCGGTCTATACAGCCGGTCTATACAGCCGGTCTATACAGACTGTCTATAACTCACGTCATGCCGGTTTATACAACCGGTCTATACAGCCGGTCTATACAGACTGTCTATAACTCACGTCATGCCGGTCTATACAGCCGGTCTATACAGCCGGTCTATAACTCACGTCATGCCGGTCTATACAGCCGGTCTATACTGGCGGTTTATAACTCACGTCATGCCGGTTTATACAGCCGGTCTATACAGCCGGTTTATAACTCACGTCATGCCGGTCTATACAGACGGCCACGGCTTTATAACTCACACAATGCCTCTCCATAGATCTCGTTGGGATAGTAATTAAATGCCACATTGAGTTTAAACTTGAGGTGATGTGGGACCGTGGTGACGTCATCCAGCTCAAAGCTCACGACCGGTGTGCTGATGTTTGGCCAACGTAAGGTTCGGGAAAATTCCGTAGCCTGTTCCACCGTCGGGAACATGTGAACAGCTGAATCTGAAAGCCATGTTTAGAAAAACCATGTTAATTTATAAAGGCCATTCTAGCTGTTGCAAACATCTTACTGCTCACGTGTTTGAAGTGAAAGTTAGAGCTAATTAGGTATAAACTGAGGGCACGTGTGTACATTGTGAAATGTGTTATGTGTGGTTTAGGTTTAGTGCATTGGTCACAATGACAGACCCATGGGGCAGTTCAATACTTTTTCTTATACATGTATATATATAAATATATATATATATATATATATATATATATATATATATATATATATATATATATATATATATATAATCTGTGATCAACTGGACTTGCATTTGCCGACCATCTGAAGTCAAACAAATTTGACTTACATTTTCCGGTCATCTGTGATCGAACAAGTGTTTCAATGGCGGATGAACTTGGCGTGCCGACAAATATTGGTTCCTGTCGGTAGTTTGACCACAAGGGGTCGAATGTTACTGTCCGCTCCGTATGGTCGACAGTTTGATCGTAGTGAGTATAAAAGATAAGGATGCTCAGCAGCAACGGGAAAACTGAGAAAAGGGGGTCTATGAGTTAGTAAGAAGTGTATATATATATATATATATATATATATATATAGAGAGAGAGAGAGAGATATAGATATATATAGATATATATATATATAGATATATATAGATATATATAGATAGATATATATATATATAGATATATATAGATATATATAGATAGATATATATAGATATATATAGATATATATATATATATATAGATATATATATATATATATATATATATATATATATATATATATATATATATATATATATATATATATAGATATATATATATATATATAGATATATATATATATATATATATATATATATATATATATATATATATATACAGGGCGTAGCGAAGGGGGGGGGCGGGGGGTGCGGACCGCACCGGGTGAGACACCAATTAGGGGGGTGACACCAAGGCAAAAAATAGCAAAATATATAGAGAGAAACTTAAGGGGAGGGGGTGCAAATCGAAAGTTTGCGGGGGGGGGGGGGAGTGCAAATCGAAAGTTTGAGGGGGGGGGGGGTGCAAATCGAAAACATGAAAGTTTGTCCCCGGGAAGGGTCGCAACGCCTCTGGGGGGGGGGGGTGACACCATTAAGTGCCGCACCGGGTGACACCCGACCTCGCTACGCCACTGTATATATATATATATATATATATATATATATATATATATATATATATATATATATATATATATATATATATATATATTAGCATCTATTTTTAGACAATACAATCAGAAATTGAGATCGAGCATGTAATAATAGACCATTAGTAATGCTAACATATTGCATCAGTCACACTGATGTTTAAAACACGTCAAATAATTTTTTACGTGCTAAAGAAAAAAATCCTGTTCGTTTGTGTCACTTTAGCGAATGACGCAATCTGCATCATTATTAACAGGATGCTATTTGGCACAATGGCGCCAGTTTGTTTTAAGGAGCCAGGGGCCGTACGTGGCGCCTATGCGGTAGTGTAATCGAGGGGGGGGGGTACTCCTGAGAGCGCCCCTCTACGTCCCTGACACATGGGTGGTCACCGAAGTGTGTTCTACCTGATTATTTCGGTGAGTGATTAATGTACACTAAAGGTTTTCATACGGTAGTGTAGGTAAACCCGTGTCCCGGTATTTATGATCCAAGCGCAGGCATTGTTTACATTTAAATAACTCCCTTTTAGAAAAAAAGGTTACGCATCTAAGAATATAGGAATGGTAAAGTATGGATGAAAGCCTTCTTCTATCCCCGCGGCAACGAGCGGGGACGGGTACGCTAGTATATATATATATATATATATATATATATATATATATATATATATATATATATATATATATATATATATATATATATATATATATATATATATCCATAAGGACAAATGATTGGGTGCCGGTTAGCGTTTCAAATTTTGAGCACTTAACTGCCGATTGGCCACCAAGCCAACTACAAGGGATAAAAAACTGACCTCGACTGACTGGTTGATTGTTCCATATACCTGGGTAAATGAATCGGCCTTATGGAAAAATTGTTACAGTGGCCAAAGCTGACTAGTCATATTGTCCTATATAATGATTTTAATTTCTGCGACAAACGGGGTACCAACCCTATGTGCATCTGGCTTATGTTCGCATGCACCTAGAAAAACGGGGTACCAACCCTATGTGCATCTGGCTTATGTTCGCAAGCACCTAGAAAAACCGGGTACCAACCCTATGTGCATCTGGCTTATGTTCGCATGCACCTAGAAAAACGGGGTACCAACCCTATGTGCATCTGGCTTATGTTCGCATGCACCTAGAAAAACGGGGTACCAACCCTATGTGCATCTGGCTTATGTTCGCATGCACCTAGAACAACGGATAGGTCGTATGGAACAATTGTTGGTCAATCTGGCTAATGTTCGCATGCACCTAGAAAAACGGATAGGTCGTATGGAACAATTGTTGGTCAATCTGGCTTATGTTCGCATGCACCTAGAACAACGGATAGGTCGTATGGAACAATTGTTGGTCAATCTGGCTTATGTTCGCATGCACCTAGAACAACGGATAGGTCGTATGGAACAATTGTTGGTCAATCTGGCTTATGTTCGCATGCACCTAGAACAACGGATAGGTCGTATGGAACACTTGTTGGTCAATCTGGCTTATGTTCGCATGCACCTAGAACAACGGATAGGTCGTATGGAACAATTGTTGGTCAATCTGGCTTATGTTCGAATGCACCTAGAACAACGGATAGGTCGTATGGAACAATTGTTGGTCAATCTGGCTTATGTTCGCATGCACCTAGAACAACGGATAGGTCGTATGGAACAATTGTTGGTCAATCTGGCTTATGTTCGCATGCACCTAGAACAACGGATAGGTCGTATGGAACACTTGTTGGTCAATCTGGCTTATGTTCGCATGCACCTAGAACAACGGATAGGTCGTATGGAACACTTGTTGGTCAATCTGGCTTATGTTCGCATGCACCTAGAACAATGGATAGGTCGTATGGAACACTTGTTGGTCAATCTGGCTTATGTTCGCATGCACCTAGAACAACAAACAGGTCGTATGGAACACTTGTTGGTCAGACTCTAGGCCCTCGGATGGAAAAACGTGACCGCGAGCCAAAGTCATCTTGTGTATCAGAATAAACATTTACCGGACGACACCCTATGCCGCCTTGTCGTACACCGACCCCAGAAGGTAACAAAAAAAAAAAACAACGTTCTCACCGTCGGGAAATCGCGGAGGGTCATAAGATCTGACTAGGTAATTAATCAATTATCTACTCTTGCAAAAGTAAAGAACGCACGCGTCAACTATGTAGTGATAAATAACATCCAGTTCAGGATGTTCATGATATTATAAATAACATCCAGTTCAGGATGTTCATGATATTATAAATAACATCCAGTTCAGCATGTTCATGATATTATAAATAACATCCAGTTCAGGATGTTCACGATATTATAAATAACATCCAGTTCAATATGTTCATGATATTATAAATAACATCCAGTTCAGGATGTTCATGATATTATAAATAACATCCAGTTCAGGATGTTCATGATATTATAAATAACATCCAGTTCAGGATGTTCATGATATTATAAATAACATCCAGTACAGGATGTTCATGATATTATAAATAACATCCAGTTCAGGATGTTCATGATATTATAAATAACATTCAGTTCAGGATGTTCATGATATTATAAATAACATTCAGTTCAGGATGTTCATGATATTATAAATAACATCCAGTTCAGGATGTTCATGATATTATAAATAACATCCAGTTCAGGATGTTCATTATATTATAAATAACATCCAGTTCAGGATGTTCATGATATTATAAATAACATCCAGTTCAGGATGTTAATGATATTATAAATAACATCCAGTTCAGGATGTTCATGGTATTATAAATAACATCAAGTTCAGGATATTCATGATATTATAAATAACATCCAGTTCAGGATCTTCATGATATTATAAATAACATCCAGTTCAGGATGTTCATGATATTATAAATAACATCCAGTTCAGGATGTTCATGATATTATAAATAACATCCAGTTCAGGATGTTCATGATATTATAAATAACATCCAGTTCAGGATGTTCATGATATTATAAATAACATCCAGTTCAGGATGTTCATGATATTATAAATAACATCCAGTTCAGGATGTTCATGATATTATAAATAACATCCAGTTCAGGATGTTCATGATATTATAAATAACATCCAGTTCAGGATGTTCATGATATTATAAATAACATCCAGTTCAGGATGTTCATGATATTATAAATAACATCCAGTTCAGGATGTTCATGATATTATAAATAACATCCAGTTCAGGATGTTCATGATATTATAAATAACATCCAGTTCAGGATGTTCATGATATTATAAATAACATCCAGTTCAGGATGTTCATGATATTAAAAATAACATCCAGTTCAGGATGTTCATGATATTATAAATAAAATTCAGTTCGGGATGTTCATGATATTATAAATAACATTCAGTTCAGGACGTTCATGATATTATAAATAACATTCAGTTCAGGATGTTCATGATATTAAAAATAACATTCAGTTCAGGATGTTCATGATATTATAAATAACATCCAGTTCAGGACGTTCATGATATTATAAATAACTTCCAGTTCAGGATGCTCATGATATTATATATAACATCCAGTTCAGGATGTTCATGATATTATAAATAACTTTCAGTTCAGGATGTTCATGATATTATAAATAACATCCAGTTCAGGATGTTCATGATATTATAAATAACATTCAGTTCAGGATGTTCATGATATTATAAATAACATCCAGTTCAGGATGTTCATGATATTATAAATAACTTCCAGTTCAGGATGTTCATGATATTATAAATAACATCCAGTTCAGGATGTTCATGATATTATAAATAACATCCAGTTCAGGATGTTCATAATATTATAAATAACATTCAGTTCAGGATGTTCATGATATTATAAATAACATTTAGTTCAGGAAGTTCATGATATTATAAATAAAATTCAGTTCAGGATGTTCATGATATTATAAATAAAATTCAGTTCAGGATGTTCATGATTATATAAATAAAATTGAGTTCAGGATGTTCATGATATTATAAATAACATTCAGTTCAGGATGTTCATGATATTATAAATAACATTCATTTCAGGATGTTCATGATATTATAAATAACATCCAGTTCAGGATGTTCATGATATTATAAATAACATCCAGTTCAGGATGTTCATGATATTATAAATAACATCCAGTTAAGGATGTTCATGATATTATAAATAACATTCAGTTCAGGAAGTTCATGATATTATAAATAAAATTCAGTTCAGGATGTTCATGATATTATAAATAACATTCAGTTCAGGATGTTCATGATATTATAAATAACATTCAGTTCAGGATGTTCATGATATTATAAATAACATTCAGTTCAGGATGTTCATTATATTATAAATAACATTCAGTTCAGGATGTTCATGATATTATAAATAACATTCAGTTCAGGATGTTCACGATATTTTAAATAACATTTAGTATGTCATGTTAATAATTTCGACAAATAATACGATTTTCGTGATGTGTGGGCCAACATTATCAACTGTTTGAAACATGGCCATCCATCATTATAATTCACATTTTGTTATGTGTGGGCCAACATTGCCAACTGTTTGAAACGTTGGCCATCCATCATTATAATTCACATTTTGTTATGTGTGGGCCAACATAAACACTTACTAAGCTCAGCCAAAATACTGCCCCAAGAGCGATACTTTATTTTCCAATTTTTCCATAACAAAGCGAAGAACTGCTGCGACAATCCCATGTTCTGAAAAATCTAGACCGACATTCACCTACTTTGAACACAACTAGTCTAGTTTTCTGTCGTTTTTAAAGTAAATCTAGAAAACATTAGCGGGATTGCATACCAAAATACAAAGGTCAAAAACGATCTAGTTTGGTGCGGATATCGGGAAGACCCGGTCAACTTTTTTTCACAGAGAAATGAGCTTTGCAATATACGCAAAAAAATTGAAGGTTACTTGAAATATATGAAAAGTTGATACAAAGTTACGTATTTTATGTAACACTTATATATAAAATTTCGTCAAACTAAATGTATCGTGTTCACAGACACACACAAGGCCCAGTTTTTCCGAATTGATGACGCGTAAATAGAGGCGTAGCGACCCTTCCCGGCGCCCGGGTACAAACTTTCAATTTGGCGCCCCCCTCGGGAGCAAATTTTCGATTTGCACCCTCTCCCCTCATACTTTCGATTTTCACCCCCCCCCCTTAAATTGCAAAAATGCAGCTAAAATGACATTTTAATTTGTTTTTACAACCCATTTTGGCACCCCCTAAGGTTGGCGCCCGGGGACATATGTACCCCCTGCCCCCCCCCCCCCCCCCCACCATCGCTACGCCTCTGCGCGTAAAATGCCGAGATTTTGATTAATCTGGATTTATAATTTTTGCCCGATTAAAATAAGTCCCCTATAATCCATATATGTGGAGTACTGGGTGTAAAACGCTTAAAACTGTAACAATTTCATATGATTATTGTGCGCGATTACAATACTTCCTCTAAACAAGAATGTGCATGTTTTATTTTGTAGTAAAAAATTGACACAAAAATCGTTAAATTTTAAATTTTTTTTTTTAAATCGAATAATTTCCTTATTAGCTGACCTAGAAAAAGCTGACAACCTAACAAAACAAGTTGTTTTGCGCCTGTCTTGCGACTTAGTTAAAAACTAGCATCTATAATAAAAGGCTGCTGGTAGTGTGTCTGTCAGTCATTCCGTCATCGCTAGAGATTCTAGAACTATAAAAGTAAACAACGCAAGCCGTGCATTTTACTTGCATCGCAGCGTCTTATTATAAGGAGTGGAGTAGGGTCTATTTATGTAACGACTTAAATAAACAACAGGAAGAAAAAATAAAATACACGCACTTTGCTAAAACATCTTAAACAGATCAATGTCAAATATTTTCGCTTATATTTCTAGAAAAGCAATGTTTTTGTTTCTGTTTGTGTTTGTGAGTTGCGTTTGCGTTAGCGTTTGTGTTTGTATTTGCGTTTTCATTTTCGTTTGTGTTTGCTTTTGTGTTTGCATTGTGTTTGTGTTTGCGTTTGTGTTTTTGTTTGCGTTTGTGTTTTTTTATGTTTGTATTTGTTTTACGCATTGCGTTTGCGTTTGTTTTTGATTTTTTGTTTGTGTTTGTGCTTTTTTGCTGTTTTTTTTGCATTTGTGTTTGCATTGTGTTTGTGCTAGCGTTTGCGTTGTGTTTGTGTTTTTTTTTAGTTTTTTTTTCTTTTGTGTTTGTGCTTGCGTGTTACGTTTGCTTTAGCGTTTTTTTTTCTTTTGGTTGTGTTATTGGGTTCTTTTGTGTTTGCGTTTGGTTTTTTCTGTTCGCAGGATGGTACATTTTAAAAAAAGATTATCCCTGGCGGAGCACGGTTATGCAGCTAGTAGCTTATATAGAAAAACATACTTTATTTACACAAACATTCGCGTTTTACCGTTTGTTTTGCATTGTTCGGATTCAGCACTAAACACAAATAATGCTCCTGCATTATTTCATTAAAAAGTTTGCATCTTTAAAAAATAAAGCAAATTTGAAATCAAATTCCCATTTTTTTTTAAAAATAGAAAATTATAATTAGTTATATGATGGTCCGTCAATGAGAGTCAGTATATAGATCTATAGGTCAATTAATAAGTGTCATAACGGTGCGTCATTGATTGACAAAAAATGGGAGTCAAGCATCAACTCAACGCCTTACTATGGAAAAACTTAATCATCAAAACACGATCTTGGGGGACTTTAGTAGCAGAACTGTGTAAGTCTATGTAAACGCTAGGCAGTATCTGCCCTATGTAAACACTTGGCAGTATCTGCTCTATGTAAACACAAGGCAGTATCTGCCCGATGTAAACACCTGGCAGTATCTGCCCTATGTAAACACTAGGCAGTATCTGCCCTTTCTGTACCATACAACACTTCTTGTTCCTGGTTTTTGTTTCATCTATTTTGACTGTGGTAATGTTTTTCTCTGACGCTAATTTTATTTTTATTTTCTTGCTATTTTATTCTAATGGCTTCAATTGTATTTGAAGTCATAGCTGAACTCCTTTCTATCTGCCTTAAATAGAGCCATAGCTGAACTCCTTTCTATCTGCCTTATATAGTCATCATGTCATATTTCTGATTTTATTATGTCTGTGTGTGTTTAAAAATAAACCGGGAGTGATCTCCCCTAAACTTTCTCGAATATTCTTATATAAAACAACAGGGGATGGGAACTCGGGCTATTGACATGATTTTTAATCCATTTTAAATACTTAAAGTTTTAAAAATAGAATAAAATCTCGTAGACAAAATAATTGCACGCCAAGTGAACTAGTGAACGCCAAATAAAAAAGTGCACAATAGCGCGCAATATTATTAGTACTTTAAAAATTTACATTAGTTTTTTGAGAAATCGGAAGTAGCGTAAATTACTACTTCCGGTCAACGGAAATTACTCAAAATTTAACAGAAGGTAGAGAATTAGATCTTTTACTTACATGTGAAATTTCATTTATCTATCTGAAATAGTACTCAAGTTATAGGCTTTTGAAAAATTCAAAGTAGGAAAAGTACCACTTCCGGTTATCGGAAATCGCTCAAAAGTTGATACGGATCTACGATTTTGATAAAATACTTATATATGAAATTTCATCAACCTAGCTATAACGGTACTCAAGTAATCGTGTTTACATACGGACACACACACAGACACACAGACATACGGACAGAATTGCAAAGCCCAGTTTTTCAGACTGGATTACGCATAAAACCTCTTAATTTTGATAAATCTGGATTGATAATTTTTGCCCGATTAAAATAAGTCCTCTATACTTCGGATGTGATGAAGGACTGAGGTGTAATACGGTGAAAATTGTTAAAATTTCAAGTGATTTTTGTGCACGATTACAATACTTTCTCTATACTTCGTATATACGAGAAAGTAAAAATATAATCCAGTAGCCACTGGCCCTGTGTTTGATTATCGCCAAATGTTGTGCCTCATTGTGCCTGATTGTGTCTTACCGCAGTCTTGCCAGTGGCCCTGTGTTTGATTATCGCCAAATGTTGTGTCTGTCTTACCCCAGTCTTGCCACTGGCCCTGTGTTTGATTATCGCCAAATGTTGTATCTGTCTTACCCCAGTCTTGCCGGTGGCCTTGTGTTTGATTATCGCCAAATGTTGTGTCTGATTGTGTCTTACCCCAGTCTTGCCACTGGCCCTGTGTTTGATTATCGCCAAATGTTGTGCCTGATTGTGTCTGATTGTCTTACCCCAGTCTTGCCAGTGGCCCTGTGTTTGATTATCGCCAAGATTCACGGGGCCAAGGAGAGTATAGTGCAGGAGGAGAGTACACACGAGGCGGGCTGGACCACGGCCTACGGAGTGAGACGGCTCATCTACTCTCCAATCTCACCGGCAATTGAAAAACTCTTGCAGTTTGACAATGGCTCAAGATGTGAGTTGTGTGTATGTTTGCGTGTGTACTTGTCGGTGTGGGTGTGCGGGTGTGTGTTGACGTGTGTGTATTTGCTTGTGTCTTCTGGTAATTGTCAATACGTGTGTGAAACGTTTACATCAATTAAGGCGTTTCAAAGTATTTGAACTTTGAAACGGATGATGTTTGAATCGCACATGGCTTTTGCCACCATCCACCATTTTGTCCTAGTCGACTCGTACTTTTGCCACCATCCACCATTTTGTCCTAGTCGACTCGCACATGGCTTTTGCCACCATCCACCATTTTGTCCTAGTCGACTCGTACATGGCTTTTGACATCATCCACCATTTTGTCCTAGTCGACTCGCACATGGCTTTTGCCACCATCCACCATTTTGTCCTAGTCGACTCGTACTTTTGCCACCATCCACCATTTTGTCCTAGTCGACTCGCACATGGCTTTTGCCACCATCCACCATTTTGTCCTAGTCGACTCGTACATGGCTTTTGCCACCATCCACCATTTTGTCCTAGTCGACTCGTACTTTTGCCACCATCCACCATTTTGTCCTAGTCGACTCGTACTTTTGCCACCATCCACCATTTTGTCCTAGTCGACTCGTACTTTTGCCACCATCCACCATTTTGTCCTAGTCGACTCGTACTTTTGCCACCATCCACCATTTTGTCCTAGTCGACTCGTACATGGCTTTTGCCACCATCCACGAAGCCGAGACCTATAGGGACGAACAATGGATTGACATGAGCAGCGTCTACTTCGAGCTGGAGGACGTCAATGTTTTACCGAGGAAACTCAAGTTCAAGGTCGTCTTATTGAAGGACTACTACCCGACGACTTTATATGGCTCGTACTTTGGTGAGAATTAAAAAAAAATGTTAGAGACGACAATGGCTATTGGGGGGGGGGGGGGGGCAATATTTAAGTTGGTAAAGCAATGCCCCTGTGGGAGCAAGACGGTGTACAGCAAAGATTTCTCTCCCTTTGTTCTGTTCGCCCAGACTACTGCGCCGAGTCCGTGAGCGTGCTGCAGTACAAATTGTCTCAGATCTTTGTTCTATTCGCCCAGACTACTGTGCCGAGTCCGTGAGCGTGCTGCAGTACAAATTGTCTCAGATCTTTGTTCTATTCGCCCAGACTACTGTGCCGAGTCCGTGAGCGTGCTGCAGTACAAATTGTCTCAGATCTTTGTTCTATTCGCCCAGACTACTGTGCCGAGTCCGTGAGCGTGCTGCAGTACAAATTGTCTCAGATCTTTGTTCTATTCGCCCAGACTACTGTGCCGAGTCCGTGAGCGTGCTGCAGTACAAATTGTCTCAGATCTTAATCGACTACTGGAGGCAAGTGCCGGCCGACGACTGT